ACCACCCCTTTGTGCACTGGGGTGGCTTCATGCCTGTGGATCTTTTGTGAGGGCGGGACGGGAGAGGCCACTCCTCTGCAGATTGGGTGGCCTCATGCCCATGGGCCTTTTGTGAGGGGGGAAGGAGGAGGCCACCCCTTTGCACATTGGGGTGGCCTCATGCCCGTGGGACTTTTGTGAGGACAGCAGAAGCCACCCCTTTGTGGATTGGGGTAGCCTCATGCCCGCAGGACTTGAGGGGTGATGGGGGAGGCCACCCCTTTGCAGATTGGGGTGGCCTCATGCCCGCGGACCTTTTGTGAGCGGGGACAGGGGAGGACACCCCTTTGAGGACTGTGGTGGCCTCATGCCCGCGGGACTTTTGTGAGTGGGACAGGGTAACCTCAAGCTGCAAGACATGTGTAGTGAGCAGAGCCCCCCTTAACAGGTGGGTTCCCACAAAATAATCGGGCACACATGCCCATGGGGACTTTTGCTAGGTAGTAGGAGAGGCCTCCCCTTTGCAGATAGGGATCACCTCCAGAATAATTGGGTGCAACAAAAAGTAAAAATAAAAAAAATAAAGAAAAATCAAAACAATTATTGGGTCCAACAAAAAATTAAAAACAAAACAAAAAAAAAAAAAACAAAAAAATTGGGTGCAAAGGCCCATGGGGAAATTTCAAAAGGGAGCAGGGGAGGCCACCCCTTTGTGGATCTGGGTGGTCTCAAATAAACCACTGCTATCTCTGTGGCTACACTCTAGACAGGTGTTGGTGCCCACCTGCCCCAGCTGGTATCTCTGTCTGGACTTAGCCCCCGTGCTGGGCTTTCAAAGTGCTGCCCCGCTCGACATGGTTGGGGTGAGGTGGGGGGCACGTGGCCCAAAATTGCCTAATATAACCTAGGCCCTCTGCAAGAAGGCCTGGTAAGGATTCAATTGGTCATTCAAGGAGCCCCTATATTGTAGAACGGAGCCCCCTAAATAACTAGCTGGATATTTCTAGCTCCTTGCCTCTGGAAGTATGATTAGTCCAGAGTTAAATGAAGACACAGCCCTAACCTCAGAGGCTAGGGTCTGCACCTATTTCACCCTATTAGATAGGGGAGTTGTTGGACCCCTTTTTAAGCCGAGGGATGAAAGGACGACTGGGAAGGAGAGCCAAAGGATGGGGGGGAAAGCCTGGGGAACAGGGATGGGTTGGTGAGGGCCAGGTGGGGGCAGAGCCTCCGGCCCCATGCCGGTGGCCTAGACCACCATTATCTTCACCTCGTTGTCGTCAGCCTGGTAGAAGAAGGGAAGGCATGGGCTGTTTCCAATGGTGACGCCTTCCTGGGAGTTCTGCATTTCTTGAAGCAGCTGAACGACCTGCTGCGCAGAGGCGTTCTCGAGGGGAGTCAGGCCCAGCTGGGCCTCACCCTGGGTCGGCTGCACATCGTGGACAAGGCTCACCTTACTTGGTTCTTTAGAGAGTGTAAGGGCAGGAGCAGGGCACAGCGCAGGTTTTCTGATCCCATGCAGACCGGGTAAAGGAGGAGTCAGAGTCCTCAGTGGTTTTGCAGGTTTTTTATTGGGGTTCACCAGGCATATGGCAGGCAGGGGTGCTGGCTGGGAGGCTGGCAGGCCTCCCAGCCCCAGCAAATCTTCACTTTATCTGGGCTCTCTGGTGATCTCGGCTTCTCTTCCGGCTTCAGCTTCGGCTTCTACTGCTGCTGCTGGCGTCCCCGTGACGCCGCCCTTAAAAGCACAGTCTTAGCTCAGCTGAATCCCATCTACCTATGCCCACACCCTACTCCAGGTGCCCGCCATCAGGCATGCATTCAGGACAAGGATCCATCATCTATCCTGATGGCGGAAGGGCAGAAAAGCCTGATATTTTCTTTACCCTACAGAGAGACAGAGACAGGATGCTGTGTGCCTGGCGGAGTGTGCTCTTCCTGACCAGCCGCCCGTTAGGGGCTTTCCTCACCTTGGACGTTGGCGGTGCCAAGCTTCTTGGGGACTAGGCATGCGCTAGTGGGCTCAGCAGCAGGGTTCTGGGCAGGTGCTCAGGGCTTCGCCCGCCATTCGTTGCGTGCCTCCACCAGCCGCAAAACCAACTCTTGCAGCTCTAACAGCTTCACCTGGAAGCAGAGATGCTCAGAAGCCCGCCCTGCCCCAGCCGCACCACCATGGAGCCAGAGCTCTGACTACCTTCATCTCCTCTTTGTCCTGGGCCAGCTGGCTTATGGACTCCTCCTTCTCTTGGTGCTCCTCCCTCATCACTGCTCTCTGGTTCTGGTAGAGAGCGATGTATTCTCCTAGGGGGAGGGCGCGCAGACAGCTCAGCTGCTGGGGTCTCCCCAGCCTCTGCATAGCACCCCAGCTGCAGGGCACAAGCCTCCCCGCTCACCGATGGTGTCAGTCTCTCCAGACATCTGGATACATCGATGCTCCAGCTCCTCCATCCAGTCCTGTAAGCCCACTTTCTCCTGCATGAGCTCGGTAAAGCGGCCCTCGGCCAGACAGCGGGCTCAGGGGCTCAGCAGTGCCGGCCTGCCCAGCACCCAGCCCGCCCAGCCCTCCGGAAAACCACACTGTAGGGTAAGATAAAACTATCAGGCTTTTCTGCCCTCCCGCCTTTAGGATAGATGAGGGAACCCTGTGGTCTGAATGCAAGCCTGATGCAGGCACCTGGAGTAGGGTGTGGGCATATGTAGATGGGATTCACCTGGGCTAAGATGGGCTTTTAAGGGTGGCATTCACAGCAAAAGCAGAGAAACGTAAGCAGAACCGAGAGAGCAGAGCAGCAGAGACCACCAGAGAACGCCAGAGAGCCCAGAAAGAGTGAAGACTTGCTGGGGGCTGGGAGGCCTGTCAGCCTCCTGGCCCCCTAGCACCCCTACC